AGCTTTCTTTCCATTTCTCTGATTAACTCTTCACAAAAACTTTTTAAAGCAAAAATAAATACAAATAATTTGTTATTGACGGCCTGACAGGAAATATATGAAGTTTTATTTTGTCCATTTGCAAAAATTCAAGGATTCATTAACATACATCCTTATCTCAAGCCTGATCAGAATAATAAAATCTTTTATTTTAGGCATTCAGTGATTTGTTATAATAAAAAAAACAGCGCCAAATATGTCATAGTTTGAAGGAGTTTAGAAATAATATTGTTTATTATGATATACTTACACAAATATTTTTTGTGTACATTTATTGTTCATTTATTTTGTAAAACTGAACATTTTGCTTTTTAAACAGTCATGAAGTCAATTTTTATACTTTTAAATACTTGATTATTTAACGAAAGTTGTATGATAATAATATAAACTTAATAATTAATAAAAAAATAATTGTAAAGTTACGGGCTAGTGCGAAATATTTATACACGTTAAGGGTAGTTTCTTAGCCATGTCCTTTTTAATTTTAGATACTTAGTGTAATACGCGTAATACGGAATACGCTACTGGTTTGAAATTCTACTCGAGTTGGTCGATAAGATCTACGTGGGTGAAGCCGTGGGGCACTGCAAGTATATTATATTAAGGGATGTCTGTGTTTGGAGAATAGTTTTTAGGCAAACACATGGCAACCCTGGCAAACAATAAACCCCGTTTTAAATTTCGCTGATACACTATTAAAGTAAAAGTTATTGAAATTTCATTTACTCTATATAGGTATATTATCCTTATAAACTATTTAACTTTTGTGTATTTGTTTTATTGCGGCTGCAAAATCAATAATTTAAATTATAGTAAATATAAATTAATATAACCACATTCATCGACTTTTGGGCGGTATGAAGTTCGCCGGGTCAGCAAGTTAGATATAATAGAGATCTTATAATTAAATCATTCAAACGGGTATTTTTTACCGGAAGCCGTTAATAAACTTATTGATAATATATAATATTAACTAAATATAATAATAATACATAATATAATACAGTTTTGTTAAATTTTGATTCGATAAATTTTAGGACTAAGTGCTCGTCACTAAAATGAGAATGAAGAACATTAATTAGTTCTTTCGAATTTAGATATTTTTTTTATGAAACTTCATGGGCGGATAAGCGTCAAAACACACAGCGAGTGTGTTGTTGCCTCTTTTTGTCTAGCAATATTTTTCAAGACTTCTTTCTCTGTCATGCGCTGTCGGATAAGATTTCAATATTTATGACAACGAAAGAAAATAAATTTAATAAATAATGAAATCTAAAAACTTACGAGTGCAATGTTACACCATTAGCTTTGTTTGTATTTCTCGAATTGTAAGTGGACTTTCGGAAGGCACACGACGGCATTTTAATACGCTTTTCTCCCTAAAATGCCTGCGGTATTTTGTTCACCATCATCAAACTGACACTATGTTCAGATGAACACTGATTAGACAAGCCATGATGATACACTACTTAGCCTATTCGAGTGATGTCAGCTTTCAGAGCGGTCAAACTATGGTAAGGACATACCTAACGATTGAAATCTTTGTTGGCAGGTAAGAACGTTGTCTCCAATTTTCTTGTAAACATAAAGTAATCTATTCAGAACTGCACTGGAATTGTCATTTAACTTAACCGAAATATATTCTCTTTTTATGTAATTTATCGTGAATAAATTAACAAATCAAATTGCAGATACTGTATAAAAATACATCTGAACACTTCAGTGTTGCCAGAGCAAAAAAATAAATATAAGCTAAAAAATAATTCATATTTTTTTTATTTTTCTGCGTTTTAATCGTAAAAATGACTATAGGATATTATTTTCTTAATTTATACGTAATATTTCCAGTATACTTAATATTTATACATTAACCTCCATTATTAGGTTTTCAAATGTATGGAAAGTGGGCATTGTTCTTTGGTGCATATATAGTTTATGAGCTGGATTGAGATTTAAGATACCTAGGATTCTTAAAAAACTAAAATTAAAGCATTTTATAAAGGAACGGATGTTCATAGGTGTCTGTCATGTGTTTATCTGTCATTGTCAATGTCATATTGGTTCAACGCGTCACTTGGCTCGTGGTTATTTTTGTTGCTACCTACTTCACTACTTGTTTGCCGTTGTTTTGAGTGTGTTGCTGTTGAGTGGTTTTTAATTTTAGAACATCTTAATCCTGTGATCCTTATCTTCGAATCGAAGCTGTGAGTGTTTCACATTTGATTAACTTGAAGATCGGAGATAAATTTACTTTTGCAACGAATTTAGCTTACTATTAACAAAGTATAAGAAACTTCTCCAGAATGAATTGTAACGTACCTCAGAGACGATCCTTCCTTTTGGCAGTCATAGATTCTATTTTACACATCCTATCATGCATATAATCATCAATTTCAAAACATTATCCTTTTGTTTATATTATTTATTTCTGGAAACACACAATTTCAAAAATTTCACACATTTTATCATTTCGTGAATATGTATAGGAATTCCAACTACTAAAATCACAATTCCATAGTGCTGGACATTTACCGGCATTTCTCTATATTTGTATATTTATTTAATATATTAATCGCTACTTTGCCTTTCTGTTTTACCCCGATTTTATTTGATTTTAGGAGTAATTTTGTTTATTTATTTTCTTGACATAATTGTGGTCTTCATGTTTTTTCCGTTGTCGTGGCTACCCATGACACGGATACTCCAACTAGGTCTATGCCTATTTAACCTCCACAGAACACCTACTTTGATTCTTTTTAGTTCGATTCGAATCGTGTCTAAATTGAAATGGTTCCGGACCTATAAAAGGCCGAGCCACCCTGAACCTTCAATCATTTCTTCGACAAAAGTTGCCAACATAACTTTTGTTAGCTCGCTATCGAGCTCTTAATTTCTAAGAGGCCCCTTTCTAATTTGTCCTCGGGACTCCAGCAAAGACCTAAAAGCCGAACGGCACCCTTTGGCTTTCAAAAAAGTCGTCACCCCTGTTAAAAATATTGATTTATTTTTAATCAGCTGTTTGACATATTAAGGCCATTGCCAGGCTGAAAGTGGCACCCTTAGCACTTTTTACTGAATAAGTTCTTATTTAATAAAGATTTTTAGTAAAATCAATCGATGAATTTAATTTCAAACTTCATTTATTACGGCAGTTGTTGGATTGCGGGCTCCGGTAGCTGTTGGAATTGACGGCACCGGCACCTGTTCGAATTGCCGGCTGCGGCAGCGGAGTCACTGCCTGACTTCATTCTAAAATATAATTTAAATGCAACGTAGTCTTAATATATGTGGGACACTCAGATAGTTTTGAGAAACTAAAAAAAAATATTTTTATTAAATCTTTTAAAAGAACTCTTGACCAGCCTCTATACAAAGTTCCATGCGTCTGAACATATTTTCAAAACATTTTTGCGGTCCTCCTCAGACATGTCTTTCTGAAAACTGTATCCCTTTAAGCCGATTTTTTATTTTAGGGAATAAAAAGAAGTTACACGGAGCCAAATCAGGACTGTAAGGAGGGTGTCTCAAGACTCTGACTGGTGTGGAGTCCAGGAAGTCCTTCATTTTGACCGCAGAGTGCGCGGGCGCATTGTCGTAGTGAAGAAGGACCCCGCGGAGCCCGGTGTTAGGTTGCTTGTTGCTCATTGCAGAAAAAACTTCTGGCTGGAATTTTATGCTATACCATTCAGCGTTGATGCTGCTTTGGTTTCAAAGTAGAATTGAAATTAGGTAGTCAAAGTGAAGAAACTAGCGATCAAAATTATCCCTGCGCTCCTCGATCGCTTCACTTTCGTAGGCGTTGGTTAATTTTGGAACAGCCATCGTATCGATAAATCCAGGCTTCGTCACCTGTCACAATATCGTAAACGCGCAGTGACGAGCCTGCATCAAATTTTTGTATCATATCACTGTACCAATTTACGCAGGCCTGCTTCTGAGCTTCAGTGAGGTTGCGCGGCACCCAGCGGGAAACTATCCTCCTTACGCTAATGTGCTCGTACAAAATCTTTTGAATACTTCCTGAACCGATCTGCAGAGTATGCTCAATCTCTTCGTACGTAATTCGTCTGTTTTCTTGAATTAAAATTTTTACTGCTAGCACATTTTCTTCGGTGACAGGCGTCGTAGGACGACCACTCCTTTGTTCATCCCCCAAAGTAAGACGACCGCGTTTGAACTTGCTGCACCAGCGGTAGATGGTTGCTTGAAGGTCCTTCATCCATAAAAGCAGTTCCAAATCGATCAAATGACTCATCACCTTTTAAGCCACATTTAAAATCGTAAAAGCTCATGGCACGAAATTGTTCTCGCTGCAGATCCATTTTTCCATTCAGAGACAAGAAAAATGTAATTGGCTCTCGAACAAAATGCGGAGAGATATTTGAAAATCGAACAGTGGTATTTTTACTTTTAAATAATCGAAGTTTTCAAAATTACAAGTGGCCAGTTTCTTATACATAAATTTTTTTTTTCGCAAACCTTTCTTAGTGGCTTGGTACCTATAATAACATTTTGGTCCAATGCCACCAAACATAATGATCTGAGTTTCACTGCTTCAGTTTGAACCTGCTCTACATAAATATTGTTGTATTTTACTTTAAGTGTAATGTCGATTTTAGTGCTTAGTTTTGTTTTATGAAGTTGTTTTTAATTTTTGTCACAATAGTTTTTGTGTTATAAGCGATTACAAAAAATGGTCTGTTTTTTTTACAAAACTTTTAAAGTATCTGACAAGCGTAAATAAACAAGAGAAATGCGAAATTCAGCATTTCATGCCCTAGAAAAAAACAATCAAATGTAGATGAGCTGTTTAGTATAATATTTTTTTTTAATCTTTCGTTATTTATGTATAAAAATGAAAAAATACCATGACATTACAAAATATAAAATTTTTGTTCAAATATACGTAACAGTGAGAGACTGGTACGTAACGTACCAGTCTTAGATAAAATAAGTTTACACAATTCTTAATTAAATGTTTACAATGAGATAAAATTCTTGCAAGTAATGTGATAATAATATTCTTCCTTAATATATCTCACAGTATTCTCATGCCAGTTAATAAACTACTCATTTCTTAGCGGGCATTTGTGGACTCTTAACTGCCTTATTTATATGTAATTATTGTAGTTTTTAGTGCAGTTTAAAGGTTTAATTGCAATAATAATGTAGACATAAGTGTGTTTATAGATTTTCGCTATCACATGCGCTCAGTTTTAATGAATTACCTAGGGATCACAGTCGTATAGGAACTAGCTACTAAATAATTTTTATTAATTTTACGGAGCCTTATTTTTTCTCAATTGTGACTAAAGTTTATTAAGATTTAATTATGTATCCCAGTGCAGATAATGGTAAGTTTTATGTGCTCATCATATAAATTTAATTTAGTTGTAAATACTCCTGTTACTTTTTCATGAATTATTAATATCTTATCGATATTTTATTAATTATTATTTTTGTAACATAATATTGAATATTAACATCTAGTAACTTTTATAGTATCTGATAATAGAAATATATAATATATTAAATTGTGTATATTAAATTGTACATAATGAGTCTTTGTTAAAATTATAATACAGTGTAATGTAGTAGGTGCTTATTAAAGTTATAATATATGGGTTGTGTTTAAATGACTCTACTCATTATACGTTTATCCTGAAACAACCTTAAAGTCAAAATACATCAGTTATTATTTACAAACAACAAAGTCAGGAGCTTCAAATTTCAGTTAACAAAATTTATATATTATATAGGCGTGTCGAAACAGGAACAAAAACAAATCAGCATTTATTAAGATTATCGTATAATCTTATAAATACATACCTAACAATTTGTAAATTCTGTTCTTGAACATTTAAAATATAAACATTCAAAATTGTACTTTATTATCAATAAAAAGAGGATGGAGTCAAAGACCCGATGGAGATTCTTGAAGACGCTTTGGTGCTGTGCACATTCGGGCGATTTCACATAAGACTTCTATTGACCACAATGGCGGCTAGCTGTGCTTCTATGATAGTGACCACAACCACCTCTTACATTGTGCCTAACGCTGAATGTGACCTCAACATGACGATCATAGAGAAGGGACTGTTAACCTCCATGCCGTTCTTTGGTGAGTTTCGTATAATAGTGAAGGTTTACGTCTTCCTCTCAAAAATAGTGTAACCAATTAAATTATCACATCTATTTTAAGTGTAATTGGATTTTGGGGGACTTCATCATCATCATCAGCCTAATAAAGTCCCCACTGCTGGGGCACAGATCTTCCATATGTATCATCAACAGCCTATCTAAGTCCACTGCTGGACATAGGCCTCTCCAAATGCACGCCATTCAGATCGATCTTGTATGGAATATAGAAATTGGGCCATGTCCTACAACGCGGGCCCAGTGCGGATTGATGGGTACTAACGATTGCAGATGCAGCCGAGAACAACGGCTGAATGTGCCTTCCGAAGCGTGGAGGAGCTCGAGATTGTAAATTTTTGGTTACCCATTCAATGACCGTTACTACAAAAGTTGCTTGATTTCAACGATTGCAGCTTAACGTGTTTACTACTTGTGCCATCGGGCTCCTCACTTGTCGAACAGTTGGTAGGAACAAAGTTATGTCTTAGGCGCGCCCCATGAGGTAATGCATTAATTTATAGTTGATACACAAAGAGCTAGGTATACTTGCTTTATTATTGTATAGTCAGCAATGTGCCGCAACTTTTTCAAAATAAATATCATTTTGTGTTTTCTGCTATTTAAAGTTTCAATATGCAGTTTAAAAGAAAGTATTTAATCTAATACTAATACCCAGATATTTGATGCTATTGGTCATTTAAATTTTCGTACTTGCACAATGATGCTCAGTGCAGATTTTACAGCAATGAGCACTCAGTGTGAAGTTAGTAGGAGGTGAAATATTTCTGCCCTTCGAAAACTTTATGTCTTATCTGTATTTAGCGTTAGTAAATGATCCCCAAGCCACTTATTAACTATATTTAAGACTACTTATACAATTCTTCTTCTGTTTTGGCCGCAAAAAGTATAACAGTGTCATCAGCGTAAAATATGACCATACCTTGGTTTAATTTTATGTTACAAAGGTCATTTATATATATAAAAAACAAAGTAGATCCTTAAACACTGCCTTGCGGAACACCAAAGGCAGTGATTTTTAGTTCATTGCTGATCATACTGCCTATCTTCACTCAATGAGTACGTTATTCTTAATAAATTTTGAATAATTTTTTATTGTGTGCCCCTTATGGCTATCATTTCAAACTTTCACCACATAATCGGAATAGACACGGTATCGAAAGCTTTAGCAACGTCGAGAAATATTCCAACTGTATGACATACTTTGTCCAAATTTGGTGCGAGATAGTTCCTTAATTCATGCAAGGCATAGGCAGTTGATAAATTAGGTCTGAAACCAAACTGTGCTTTAGACAGGATTGACTTCCGTTCTTAATATTTCATCAGTCCTTCATTTAACATTTTTTCTAGTATTTTAGACATAGAAGGTAATAATGAAATTGACCTATAGTTTGTGACTTGCTTGTTGTTGCCAGATTTGTAGTTGGTTATTAGTTTTTTTAAAAAGTTGTTGCAGAAATTTTCGATACCGCTTGTACGATAATTTTAGCACTAAATTATTTGGATTACGTCTTGCTTTAGTATGCATTTTATTCCTGTGTTTCATACAGCGAATGAGACCAGGCGTTATCCACGGTTTGATATTATAGTTTTTGCAAGTCAACTGAAAGTAGATTGAGTTTCTCTGAATCAACTGTTGTATTTTACCTACTACATAATAAATGACGTACCAAACTGCCGGTCAGCAGAATTGTAAACTGGAGCTAAGTCAATATTGCATAAGTCCTCTTCGAGTAAGTTATAGTTTGACTTGGTGATTTATAAAAAAATAAATAATTGAAAAATAATTGATTTTTCAATTTAGGTAGTTTGCAGTTTAAGGTTATTAGGACAGCATTATGATCGGTTAATGACGAGTTTATAACGAATGTTAAATATTCAAAATTTTATTTTAGCTAGATATGATCCAAACCATATCCATTCTGGTGTGTAGGGAGAGTATGAGTAGGAAGCAAACCATGGAAGTAGTAGAGGTTAAGATAGTCAAGAATAGCTGAATCGGTATATTAATTTTGCGGAGTTATGTTGATATTGATATCTCCAACTACTATATTATACTACATTTTTGAAGGATGACAAGTTATTTAGTTCTTTTTTTAAAGATTGTTACTGCTCGATATTTAAATCTTAAGATAATAATACTAGAAAAACATCCACGCGGACCAGGCAGCAGACGGTACCCGTCTGTATTATAATCTAATATTATTATCTTAAATTATTTAGTGTTACTCCCCAAGAGTCAATAAAGATTTTTCGATTTCTAAAGGCAGGACGTCTGAATATTGCTTGTATTGCATAGTCTATCCCAATTTTAATTAGTTATCTGCTACAGTGTTGTATTTTATGTTTTTATGCGGTGACATTCAGATTACTTTTAGTATAAATTACCACACCCTCATTATGATAATAAAACAAATTATTTCTATACATATTATAAGCTGCTATTAGAGGAACATTGTATTGTTTTCCAAGTCAACATTCCGCTAAAATTATTACATCACATTCTTTGATAAGCATTTGTAGAAAAACATCAAGGTTGTCAAAATTCTTAGAAATACCTCGTATATTCTGCGCTAGTTAAGGAATTACTGTAATGGCATAGATATTGTTTGCACTCTTCAACTTCACAGCTTCTCGATTCAAATTGACAGGATGCATCAATTTCATTACTTATATTATTCACTATTATAAATTATTATTTAAAAGAGAATGATGAAGGAAATTTGGTCAATGGAAAATATATATATCAACGGCGCTCTTAGGCGCCCTCATAATCAATAGAATTGATGTACCTTTTTTGACATTAGCTTCGCCGGACATTCCGCAGAACCTGTGGTATGGCTTCTTAGTTTTTTTGAATCGCAAGCGGATAGCACATTAAGCTTGGCTGTTCTTCTTTGGTCAATATTGTATTGAGTGCCCTTCTTCTCCACAAGGGCCGTAAGTGTGGGTTGTTTCACGACATGGCTTAGCCGCGTGACCTACTGCTGGCATTTATAAATGGCATTAAAGTGAAATGAACTGAATCTTGTCATTCGGGTAATTATCAACTGAACTCGTATGCACGGGCTTAATATAAGTGTACCCTCTTTTTTTTACCATATCGGCAAAGAACGTACTTGGGACAAGTTTGATTTTCTCATTTATGCTCGTCTTGAGGTCCTGCAGTCTTTGAGATAACTCAAGTTGACCCTCTAGAGACTGTGTAGTACTATTTTTTTGAACACTTCTCAGCTTAAGTGACTGATATTGGACTGCCATTTGAAATGTGTCGTGGCTAACTTTTCTGCATAAGTTATTGTTTCTTACCATCTGAAGCAATATTATAAACCTCGTTTAGGCACTGCTCTATCGTTGTCATCCAGTTCTGTATTTTCGGAGTCGAAATAACATCAATTGCGCTGTTTCCTTGACTCGGTGTTTTCGCTGAGGATCTAGGAGGCGGCGTGGGAGGAGGGGAACGCGCGGCTTTGCGCTCCTGTTAAATGAGCTCTCGTCCATTGTCAAAGTAGATATACTACAAATACTAATTAAATACTAATCATTTTCACTGATTCGCAACTAACATAGTATGTATGACACAGTTTACTTCACTACCGGTGCACAAAACGAGGTCACAATATTATGCTATCGATTATTTAATTAATAGTATGGTTATTTTTGAATACGTCTGTTCTGTAACAGTTCAGTCGAATTAATTCCGTAACGTGCAATCTCACCACCAAATTCTGATAGTAAGATTTTTTGACAATTGTGTAATAATGTCTTTTAGTGCTTCAATAGTCATTGCCACATTTTGCCCTGTTACTATGTAACGATAATGTTCTATCGTAACGAATTATCGGGCTGCGTATCTATAGACGCTAGACGATAGCTCGACAGGGCTTTTTAACACACATAGAAGAGGTTATAGGAGACGATAAATTTGTATAATGAAACTGAAGGAGCGTACTTATGATGAAGCAATTTCAAATTTCGAATCCTAATTTAAGCGCATTTTAGTAACAAAGCTTCCTCGCGCAGGTGTGGAACAAGCATACGACGAAAGTTACTTCCCTAGAATAGCCCTCCGATTCGGACAGACAACCCACTATGCCTCTCTGTGTGTATCTGCGTCCAACAAAATTCTGACGTTTCAAATTATAACAAAATCAAAGAAGTTGACATTAGATTGATGCCAATGAATGAGAAATTTAAGCATGTTCTTAATCACGGTATTGTTTGAATAGCGTGTAAATCTAAATTATAGGAAATTATGTTAAATCTAATGTCAAAAAAATACACATATTCTAATATTTAATATAATGATAATTTTTTTTATTATTATTTTTAAAGCATGTAACTGCTTGATGTTTAAATCTAAAGAAAATATAACTAGAAAAAATTCCACGCGGACCAGGCAGCAGACGGGACTCGAACCCGCACCCTTCGCAATCCGGGCGAATGCACTGACCAATTATGCTACCGCGGCCCTCACGGACCGCGTCGAAATTCTTTCTAGCTATTCTTAAGCTGCAAGGCAGCGCCATCTCTTCGCATTATAGGTAAACCCACAATGTCAAATGAATACTTTTACAAGTATTAAACATTTGAAAGAAGAAATAGCAATTATAGTTATAATTTGAAAATATAACTAAACTATTACTAACTAACTTGAAAATATAACTAATTTAAAAATTAATTTTTAAGCTAGAAAGAATTTCGACGCGGTCCGTGAGGGCCGCGGTAGCATAATTGGTCAGTGCATTCGCCCGGATTGCGAAGGGTGCGGGTTCGAGTCCCGTCTGCTGCCTGGTCCGCGTGGAATTTTTTCTAGTTATATTTTCTTTAGATTTAATATAATGATTTATGATTACCTAAATTGTTCTAGTTATTATTATACATTTTTTTATCTAAAATAAAATATTAAATTCTTATAAATTATGATAAAATATGTGTTTGGTTTACAGGTCAAGTCAGCTGTTCATTAATAGCGGGTTTCGTAACAGACGCGTTTGGTAGAAAAAGGTTCCTGGTTGGTGGCTTTTTCGGCATATTTATATGTGCTGTTATTGAGGGTTCCAGTCAAACTTTTTGGATGTTGGCTATAGCCAAACTCCTTGCTGGTGTTTGGTAAGTCATACATATGTTAACAGTACCAATAACGGTAACTAAGTTTTTTACTACATACTTGGTTTACTCATAATTGGTTAGTGCGTCCGCCGGGATTGCAGAAGGTTCTGGTTCGAATCCCGCCTGATGCCTGGACTGGAAGGTGTAAAACCGTTGTACTCACCACTCTACTATCATCATCTCATTAATGTGCCCACTGAAGTGGCGCACAAGCCTTTTCTATGGATGGAATATGGAGATTGGGCCATAACACAAAACTGGGGGCCGGGATCTACGGCTTGACATGCGTTTCTGAAGCACGCAAGAGATCGAGATAATAGATATTTGGCCACACACACAGATCGAAATACATAACGCAAGTGTATGTACTTCGCGTGTCAAAAGACAGACTAAAATCACCCTTTTAAGTTAAATTATTTTTTCATTCACGCTACGTTTAAGAAAGATAGTTATCTAACTATGTCATAGTAAGCTTTAAAAACGATAAAAATAATTGAAATAGGTGACCAGAGCCCATGCTTTTTCACCACTTATTTGTTCTCGTGTGTACTATAAAGGACATCGACGAAATCGGCCCTAGCATGCCCAAAAGAATGTCTTTCACTATTATTTTTTTAATTTATTAGCAATTAATCATATTAAACGGTACAATCAGTTTAAAAAAAAAGTTCTGTTACTTGATACTACAGTCCGTTCATTCTAACTTGCCCTATTTGGTAAACAATCTTGGCACTCCTTTTTATTGAAAATATCATTAAAGATCAACTGATAACTGGATTCAATAGGTTTCAGTCTATAATAACGATTTATTTTAATAGTTAATTGGCTTCGTTATTATTTTATTTTTAAATGGGTGATCTCTGTCTGTGGCAATGACGTATAATATATAGACAGGTTATATATAGGCACAAGAGTCCCTACCCCAACTTCCCTTGGCAACAGCCGTCAATTGAGTGCACTAAAGTAATATCTTTCACTCTCATTCATAAAGCACAATACATCTCGCTATTTAGCCTTTATGTGTCAGCGGTGTCAGTAACAGTCAAGAAAAACGTAGAATATTTACACGTTGTAGCAAAGTGTAGCCGCGGCGAGAGAGCGTGCCCGGCTGAATGCAAGTCGGGCAAATACCTTACTTTCCTATTGCTAAATTAGAAGCGTGTATGATATATTTTTAGCATTAAAGTATCAGAGGACTGTGGTCACACGTTTAACAGCCAATGGGCACCTTCCTCCCACATCCCCTTGCGTTATCACGCTCCTCCCTTCCATGAAGGTTGTCAATAGATAATGTGTATAATTATGAATAAATTATTTGTTCCAGTTCATGTTTTTGCTTCACAATCCCAGTTGTACTGTTATCAGAGCTGGTGCACAAACATGTTAGAGATAGAGTATTACTAATAAACGCTTCGTTTATGTCAATTTCCTTGATAACGATAGCTTTTATATCGTGGGGTTTGCTACCTTTGCAACTGGACATAACGGTTATAGAAGGATATTTTGGTAAGATTTTTTCTATATTATCCGTACTTCAATTATAATATAATAAGTACATATTTGGTAATATATATATTATACAAGCATTAAAGACATAATGTTACTACCGAACGTTTCGTTTGTGTCAATGCCTTGATATTGATAGCCTTTATATCGTGGCGCTGCTACATTTAAAACTGAATATTATGCTCATAGAAGCATTTTTGTTGAGATTTTATCATCGGTCTATTAATGTCCTCACCGCTGGGGCTCAGGCCTTCCCTATGAATGGAATATAGAGACTGGCCGTGACTCATCACGCGGGCCCAATCTGTGGCCCAGTGCGGATTGGTATGTGCTAACGACTGCAGATGTAGCCGGGGCAGCGGCTTAGCATGCCTTTCGAAGCACGGATGATTTTTAGATAATAAGTTTTTGTTCACCCATCCAATATTCGACTATTGCGCAAGTTATTTAATTTTCACGAGCTTAGCTGCAATCATAGTAAAAATTAACATACCTACTCATATTTCATGTATTTTACACAAGCATGTTAGAGACGGCGTTACTACTTAATGCTTTGTTTATGTCAATGTCCTTGATAATAGTAGAATTTATATCGTACTTGCTACTGTTGAAACTAAATATTACGCTCACAGAAGGATATTTTTGGATATCAATATCTTGCTATTGTTGTTAATATAAATAACAATGAAAAAAAAATGTATGATAATAGTAAATATTATTATTATCATACGTGCTGCATATATAATACACATAAAAATATTAATTTGAAACTACCATATTGTAGACAAGAGACCAACCTCCTTTAGTCAGTTAAAATACTTTTTCACGCGTTCTAATTTTTTTAAAACGTTATATTTGTATCCTGCGCCTATGGACTTTTTATTAAATTTTTAGTAAATTTTTTGTGTTTTGTAGCTAAGAGATCTCTTTTATTTCAAAAAATTTTTGATTTGATATGACTTGTGAAAAGTAACTGCCGGCTATTTTTCTTTCTAGTGTTGCATTCATGGAATATATATTTATATGTTTGTTCAATATTCAGCTTAATAGCTGCAATATCATATTATTACTTGCCGGAGAGTCCGAAATTTTTACTTTCACATGGTCAAGAAAACAAGGCACTAGAAATAATGAAAGACATATACCAGAGCAACACGAGAAACCATAGAGACACTTTTCCGGTAAGTTATGATTGAAGCCGAAAAACATGTAATTTTTCTTTGTTTTCCAATCATGACGGACGGTTTAAAAACAAGGTACTTACGTCATTTTTTATGTTAAAAGGGTGACCAACAAACATATGGCCCGTTTGATGGTAAGCGGCCACCACAGCTTATAGTACGGGAGCCCAAGCGGGGATTTTTGGATTTACTCGAGCGCGGCAAAATAACATATGGGAAGCAAACCTTGCACCAAGTTAAGTACTTCCACCATACCCGAGCCCTCTATGTAGGGCCGAACGTCTAGGGCAGCAAAAACAAAATTTCAACGAACGGTCATGACTTTTGGTCGCGCCCAAATCGTCAGTCTTTTGAATATAAGCTTTTAGAGGGTTCATGTAACGTTTCTAAGAACGGAAAAAATATTTATCTGTCGCGGTTTGCATGATATGGGGGTGGCCGTACGAAGGGGTAGAATATAGGAAAAAATAACCGAGCGCGTCAGACATTGAGAAGGGGTGTTACGTGAACCCTCCAGTAGCTCCTATTCAAAAGACTGACGATTTGGAACCGACCAAAAGTCATAGCCGTTTGTTGAAATTTTGTTTTTGCTGCCCTAGACGTTCGGCCCCACATAGATGGCTCAGGTGTAGTGGGAGTACTTAACTACGTACAAGGTTGCTTCCCATACTTTATTCTGCCGCGCTCGAGTAAATCCAAAAATCCCCGCTTAGGCTCCCATACTATTATAGACGCTTGCGATACCAAAAACATCACTCGCACCGTTGCCTACCCTGATCCAATCTACTACTCCGTAGAGCCCTGGAATCTTACTCATCGACAGAAACACAAAACTACCAATGGGTAGTGTTATTTTACTGTGATCTTCTGTAAGATAGAGTTAACTTCCCCAAACGGGCGATCCGATTCGAGCGTAAATCCGCTGTGCCCTACCTCTTTAAAATGTGAAACGACTCAATAATTGGAGGCTTTGTGAGTATCGTTAATATCAAAATTACATCATAATTATAAGGAAATAACTACCTTGCCTTCATCCTCCATTAAAGTTATAACAATACTGCTACTATACTGCTTTCGTGCGCAGTCGGGTAAAATGACCGAGAATTATTATGTAACTACAAGTAACATTCAATAACATAAATTTGCTTCAGAAATCCCAATATTCTACAGTTGAAGCTTAGGTCCAATCCAATATTCCTAAATCTATTTTATTACAGAAAGGATAATTTTAATTAAACAATAACATTCGTCTGGAACAATTATGTTAGCAAAGTTCATTCCCAAAACAAACTCCTCGAACATCTCAAAAGGTTTATTTTGAGCAATCTCCTTTCTTCGACCTCTGTTTGGAATCTTAATTAGGTCATAAATTTATTCATTATTCTACTCTTCTGTGTTGCGGTTGTCGAAACCTCAACACCTTACTAATTTTGTGATTTGCGTTTCTCTTTACTAAGAAAATCTCTTGGATACTATCCTTATTAACACATACAAAGTTAAGCATGCGTTTAACACAACTTCAAGAAAAAATATATACAAAATTTGCCTAAACAAGGATTAAAACAGTGTCTAACTTTTTTGTAGTAAGACCGTATATTTTGTTTAAATATATAAGCCAAGTTATTTATAAGGTGTCGTTCTGTCTGAACTCCAATACGCAAATCGCGATTTTTGTCCGACGATTGAACATGAACCATGTTGACTAAAGTTCTACCCGATAAAAAAAAATACTGTCACGTTTGTTTGCTGAAAATAAAACAAAGACAGCATATGAGGTTTAAACCTAGACTTATTTTAGTGCAGGTTTCGTATTAAGGGAAAAATGTTGGCTTAATGTAATTTGATTTGGAGGCAAAAAAAACTGCAATAGAAATGTGGTACTTACAATACAATGCCCGACCAACATCAGTCGGCCTACGGCCTACGGCCTCCGAGCTAATATCACCCACATCGGTAAAAGTTCTTCCCCTCACGATTTCTACACTGGTCATCTCGACGCTATCCTATCCTACAGTATGAACAAAGTTCTCACGAGCTGGTGATGATCGCGAATTCGAGTTCTATTAGAACGAAGCCTAAGTTTGACTAAATACTTACCATAATGGCGTAATTACACTTGGTCGTTAACCTGTATTCGGGTGCACGATAGACATTACTGGAATTCAGGAACCCGAAGCAATATTAACATTGTTTTTTATTAAAATACGGGCTGGAAGACGGCAGTGGGCATCCAAAACGTAAACGGCCCGAATACGGGCGTACTCGACACCGTTCATTTACAATTAGTCGTTTATTCGTATTCCATAGGCAATCGGATTCGGGCTAACTACAAAATGTAATGCGCCATAATACCACAACACAGTAAGACATGCATTCAATAAAAGTTTAAGAAAAGTTTTCATAGCAAAATTTTACCTAACAATTTCAAACCGTGTTTGGTAAGATCATAACGGTTAGACATTGTTTAGATAAATTATGTATGACATTTTTTTTCTAACTCGTATTGAATGCATGTCCAATTTTTTTGTAGCAATAAGATTATTTTTATTTCTGCGTTTTAGATTACTTCACTTAATGCATCAGGAAGTTATGTTCCAACAACCAAGGATACTTTTAAGAGACAGATAGTTAATGCACTGCTAGAAGTCAAGAATCTGTTCAGGCCGCCTCTGCGCGGGAGGCTTTGTTTATTCTGTATAATAACCTTTGTATGTTTATTGGCGTAAGTAATTTAAAATTCAATTATTTGAAAGATTCATGGTCGTTGTCAAACCAATGTCTGTTATGTGAAAAAAAAAACTTTTAAAAAAGAAGTTAATAAGTATATGATAATATTCTGGGTGATGTACATAGAAAACATTTACAACAACCTCTGTTCAACGTTATAATGCTAAAGATGTATTCTAAAATCGGTAAGTATACTAGAGTTTACTATTAATAATAACTGAAATGTCGAAAAGTCTTCAAAAGGTGCACATAGGAGATATTGGGTTGACAACGGTGAATGCTTAAGTAATACCTAAGTGCCACTGAACTGCTGTCAAAGACTATTATCAAAAGCAAGGACGATAAGGAAATCCCATTATTAACAATAATCTATTAAAATATTACCTTAAACTACTAGAGCTTGCTTTGAACTTTCTTTTGGTCCGTTAGCTATATAAATAATATTAAATGGTATATATGTCATCAACGACCATCTATTGAAATTTTCTATTTAGGTAGCATCACTCGCATGTTGCTCACCACGTTACAAGCCAATTATCAAAAGTATGGTGTCAGTTCAAATGGTTACCAAACCTCCATTCAGACTGTTGGAAAACTTACTGAAGGAAAGAACACAATACATTGTTAATTTCTACAGTTTTCTGTTTTGTTAAATAAATAAAATTCTTGCATTGTAATTCACTGCAGACTTTTGTTTATGCAAAAGATAAAAACTAAAAATGGGTGTATAAGTGGGACTTAGCAATTCCTTTTTTGTATCTGGGGACTTTCTTACGCATCCTTCAACCACTGGGGGAGCAAGAAAGGTATATGGGGATCCCCCCCTGTCTCCTTCAGCCAGCCCTGGAGCTCACTGAGACTGAACCTCACTTGGTCATCATTGGTTTAATTTAATTTTGAATTTAATTTGCAGGTATAGCTCTTTGAGAATGTGGTATCCCCAAATATCTACAATGGTAGAGAACTATCAGCAAACCCACAATAGGACCGATCGTTTTTGCGCCATGATAACTGAATACACTCAAGAAAAATTAAATTATGAACAAAAAATCGATGGTATACTGAATCCTCCGATTGGTAGTAATTTGACCGTTAGTGAATTAGACGCGAATGACACGGAAATTTGCGTACCGGTAAGTTTAACATTAGCAGGAATAAATTATAAACATGAGACTTATTTTAAATTTGGTACTAGAAACCTAATTTCAAGCTTAGTATCAACAACCCTTTGTCTTAGGAATTGGGTACAAACCGCAATGAACTCGAGTCTAGACTGGGTATAAAAATAGAGATAGGGTTTCTGCATTGATCGGGAGCTGCCCCTGAACTATTTTTTTTGAGTAACCAACAGCGATACAAATAGATATTACATATTTGAACCTAGTAATAAGAATGGTCAATAACAGGTTTCTACTATTTAAATTAGATACAGCAGTAACTAAAACTGTCGTTGTGCGGGCTAAAGTAAATAGTCATTAAAACAACGCGATTGCAACCATTACATAAGATATCACTTTATGCTATACAACGCAGCACTTCACTTCAAGCGCTGTTTTTATGCTATGTGCAAATTCAGATTCATTATTATTCAAAGGCAAGCACTTATAAATATGCCATCGATTTCCAAATCACAAATCTACGGCAGGAGGTCTTGTACTGAGGAGAACCGGCAAGAAACTCAGCAAACGGCAAGAACCAAAACAAAGTATTATATAGGTACTTCATTATCATCATCATCATCAACCCAAGCTCGTCCACTGCTGGACATAGGTCTCACCCAATGCACGACACTGTTCCCGATTTTCTGCCACTCTCATCCAGCCCACTCCAGCCAGCCTAGGAATGTCATCATCCCATCTTAGAGGTACTTATTTGCAAAAAATCATAAAATGCAACACAAATATAAAAGTAGGCGACGCTGCTTTGTACTATCTGTGAACATATGTTTCCTATAGTAATTGGTTGTATTACCACTGTGTAAACAATCGCGCGATTGGCTAGTACTCTATATTCGACGCAAGTCAAAGGAAGAATAATGAGCGGACATATATAATTATGTTCTTTTGCGAATGTGTGAAGAGTATTCGCTTTGGTACTCGCACGCAAATGTTTCATCGAAGGCGGATAACAAGCACGGCGCGACTATGTAATAATTGCAGTATTGCACGCCCGTTGCGAATAGCACGTCACATGACGGCAGTGCGCGTCACATGACGGCAGTGCGCGTCATGTGACGTGCTATTCGCAACGGGCAACTATCCCTAAATAAAAGCTCATCGAAAAACCGGACAAATGGGAACAATCAAACGAATTGAGAAAATGCGTAGTGAACAAGTATTTCCTTTTATACTGCATTCTCGGATACAATATAATTATTGAATGTGCAGAAAATATTACCTACATCGTGCGTTGCGAGTTATCTTTAATGTTCTTAAAATCGCTTTCAGTCAGTTCATGGGTTCATAGGTATCATATGGACGGCCCTGACCTGGAATGTTATCTCATAAGAAGTAATAATATATTATCTAGACTACTTTGTAATTGAACACACATCACTCAATAGAGGCGATGACCGCGTAAAGTGAAGAAAATTATATTTAGAATTAGTTAGATTAAAAAAAATGTACATTTATTTTTCTTTTGTAAATCAACCATAAAAATGCAAAAGTTTGGAATGGGGGCTCGTGACGTCACGTCTAAGTAAAAATTGTACCAAGACGGACTTCATGCGACATTCCAAAACAATATATTTCTGTATTATTGAGATAATATGTGTATAAAGAAAAAATACATGTCCAATACTTTATGATAATCTACCTGTTAGATGAAAAAAAAAGTTTGTTTCTTAGGTTTTCACGCACATCACTCATTAAATAAAACAAGTTTTTAACGGGTTAGACGTACTGAATTTATTTATTTATTGACGTTTCGCATCCATTGCAGGAATGCATCGTCAGAATAAAGATTTTTTTATTTACTTTGTCGAGCTACCTTCGAAAGACTTTTATTGAGCGTTCGGATATTTCATTGGAAGATTTTTAAAACTTTGTTGTCTATGCTTGAATTTATTAGCTTCATTAAAAAATATTTCTGTCGACGCATTCCTGCAAAGGATGCGAAACGTTAATGTATAAATAAATTCAGTACATGTTACCCGTTAAAAACTTGTTTTATGAAAAAAAAGTTAGTCATCATCCCTAAAATAATTTTGACTTCGTATCATTAAACGAACTTTGTGAATTAAAAATGCTTATTTATTTCAGCACATCAGTGGTACCGAAACTTACACTAACGGAATTCTCCTAGGTTTTGTTTCTTTTATCGGCATTGGCATTAGCACGTACGTGGTCAAATTCTTTGGGGTGAAACCTCTCATGATATTTCTCCTGATCATATGTGGCGCTTGTTCCGCGAGCCTATATTGGACAAATTCTTTGATATCAATGGCTATTCTGATCTCGACTACATGTGGATTTATGCAAACAGCTATGAGTCTAGAATATAACCTGCTCATGAGAGCGTTTCCAACGACCTTACGGCAAGTATTTTAAAAAAAAACTTACATTTTATACCAAATAAAGTTCGCGCAAACTAGCAATGAACAAACATAAACTATCATGAAAATATTTTTTTAAAGATACAACAATCACACTCAGTGATGTTTATTAATTTTTTTCTTCGTTAGTCACGTGTTATCCTTTTTTATTGATAATTCTAACCCTGTGTTATATCTTAATATATTTTTGAGCTGGTTTTATGACATCTTTTTTGAAAACAAGTCCGAAAAATTGATAATTGTAACTAGAAACAAAATGAAAATAGTTATAAATTGTAACCAAAAATAAATACACAGTTTGACATTATTATGACTAATTTTGATGCAGTACTGGAACTCATAATCTCTTCAAAGATTCTATAGAGTTCCCATTGAAGTCGATGTAAATATGCAAAGTTCGACTAAAAATGTCCTTCAATTGTGCCTATTCTTCAATCAATACGAGGTAAAAGAAGCGAGCGACTTCCAATCCTTAACTAACACCGAGAGTTGAGATTTTTCATAGAAATTGTCACATCACGCCATCAGCGCTTTTTGAATAGGTTCCCAACGTGAATAATGACAAAGTTCAATATCAAATTTCGCAACATCACGTTGAAAATTATGTGGGGCAAAATACAAATTATTTTGTGTAAGGTGACTTTGATTATTAAGAAAAATTATAACTGTCTAAATTAAAAATGTGGCTTTGTTTTGAAACTAAAGTTAGAAGTGAAATATAAAAAAAATGGGGTTTCCCTTAGTTTTTTTATATCAAAAGGGTGGCAAACAAGGTTATGACTCGTCTAATGGTACCCTTTAAACTTAAAAAAACATAGAGGGCAACAGAACTAAAATTTCAATGAGATACAACAACGCGTTGACAAAAGCACAGATGGACGGACGAACAGCGACGGAGCAGTAATAGGGTTCAGTAATCACCCATTGGGTAAGAAACCCGCTAATAACGTATTCACATCGGATGATAAGTGAAAAAAATTAAATCATATTACCACATCCTCTATCTTTCAGTTGTGATTAACTGGTCGCGTATACTATAGTAGGTAACCATGATTGTCTAATTTCGTTATCTCTTTATCAGCTGCGCACTCTCGTTTCAAAAGATAGGCACACACGTCATCGTAAGGAAACAGTAAAATTCATTTATATTTCTCTCCACAGCCAGTACCGTATTTAACAATACTTAGTTGAGGTCAAATTTAAATTTTATGATTAATTAATATTTTTTAATTTTATAATATTTTTTATTTTATTTTGTATTTTTAATTTAATAAATGTAGGTACTATTTCATAATTTTCTGGAAAATAGTATACATCTTTGATCATTATGATTTTCAGCACAGAGTCCCAATTTTCGTAACGCAAAATCACACATATTTTTAAAAGGAAAATATGCTTAAAAAGGATACGCAAGAAAAAAATCCTTATAATTTTCTTTAGATTTAAACATCAAGCTTAAAAAAATAAAATTATAACTAGAATTGCTATTTCTTCTTTCAAATGTTTAGTACTTGTAAAAGTATTCATTTGACATTGTGGGTTACCTACAATGCGAAGAAATGCGCTGCCTTGCAGCTTAAGAATGGCTAGAAGAATTTCCACGCGGCCGTCAGACCCGCGGTATTATAATTGGTCAGTGCATTCGCCCGGATTGCGAAGGGTGCGGGTTCGAGTCCCGTCTGCTGCCTGGTCCGCGTGGATTTTTTTCTAGTCATATTTTCATTAGATTTAAACATCAAGCAGTTACATGCTTAAAAATTAAATTATGTGGATACGCAAGTTTTTTTCCTTCTCTATTGATACGATTAATACTATTTGATATTGACTTTAAATGTTTTTTTTTTAATAAATACACAGCTGCTCATAACTGTACTAATTGTAAGTGGAAAATTTGTTGATGTATGTTATTCTCTATATTTAATTAATCTAAACGTAACAAAATATTGTTTGTTACCCAAATAACAAAATAAAATAAAAATTCTTAATGTTAAAAGCGTGGCAAATAAGCCTATGGCCTGCCAGAGGGTAAGTGGCCACCATAGGCTATAGACGCTTGCAATACCAAAAATATCACTCGCAGCGTTGCCTACCCTGACCCAATCTCCTAGCCCGTGGAGCCCTGGAACCTTACTCACTGACAGAAACACAAGGTAGTGTTATTTTACTGTGATCTTCTGTACGGTGGAGGTTACTTACCCAAACGGCGCTTCAAATCGAGCTGGAAATCCGCTATGCGCTACCTTTCTTAACAGACTAGGTAGAATTTGCAAAGTAGGGTAGGAAGTTTTGGTCTGCCATATTATTATCATGGCCGAACTAGTCACTGCTATATAAAACAATAAAACAAATGCTACCTTTACCTATTTATAATTAGGTAAATTTTATAACCCATAATTTTTTTGATTCCAGAACCCTGTCAGTTTCAATAATCACAATGATTGGAAGAATTGGGTCATTGCTCGGCAGCATTTTGTTTCCAGTTATGTTGACTTACGGCTGTATGACACCTTTCATCGCGTTATCAGTCTTGTCATTAGGTAACTGTGTTTGTAATGTTGGCTCTAACTACGTATACTCTAACCCCATTTATTAATAGACAAGACTAACTACGCTGTGTTTTGTTCATATCACTCAAGTACCATTTGTCATTCAATGAACAGAGGAAAAACAAAGAGTAACTAATCCAAGCTTAGTCTTTGTTTATTAATAAGGCATCATTGGCGATGAAGAGGTAACTAAGAAACTCGAGTCTCTACAATTACGCCGCGATGTGGCATCATTAAGCGCATTCTACCGACTATACCACGGCGAGTGTTCTAAGGAGCTATTCTCCCTTATCCCTCCATCACCTTTTCTTCAGAGGACCACTCGCACTGCTCTACGTTGCCACCGACTTACTGTAGCCACTATTCCTACACGAACAAAGAAATTTGGTGACTCATTTCTTTGTCGTACTATTTGTAAGTGGAATTCTTTACTCGCGCACGTGTTCCCTCCTTCCTATAATCTGGGGTCCTTTAAGAGAGGCGTGAAGAAGCATTTTTGCAGGCCAGCAAGGTGAGGATGGCTAGTGTAGCAGTTTATAACTGCTGTACCAGCTATCTTCGCGTTTGGACTTTATCACCACTTAACATCAGGTGGGGTAGAGTCATTTGCTTACCTCGTTATAAAAAAGGGGGGTTAGTGCATAATACAATGCTGAGTAGAAAAGCGTAGAACTTTCTCTGAGATAGGCAACCGTTAACAGGCAGGGGAGAGGGTGTGAAATGTAGCTTGTAGTGTTATATTGCAGTCTTTGCCTAAAAGACAATTGTAGAAGATACTTCTTCGCGGCCATATAACTTGAAAAACGGTTGCTCGGGTACCCAGTCTCAGTTGTGGGATCGCCATGGGGTTTTGAGTGGGTAGGCCTCCGAGAATTAACGAGAAGAATTCCGTTGAATCCACGAAGGACAGACAGGTGGCGGGGTATGCGCCACAAATTTACTCGCACGGCTTAAAAAAGGAAGATGTTAATGTAACAAAAAAGCTTTCAGTTACGTAACACGATGATAAAATTTTATTTTATTTTATATCACCTAATTCGGGGTTGTGGTAGTAATGTATGTTAATGATTTAAATTATTATTATTATATGTGATTGTAACGGTTATTATTTCTTTTTTTCAGCTATCACCAGTTTAGTTTACTTCCTGCCTAGTCCGAGTGATAAAAACCACACTGGAGATAAATAAAAACGAAGAAAAACAAACAAGTGTTTAATTTTCATAAAAAGAATATTGTACCATATTGAAGTTTCGCTTGCACCAAGACACTTAATTAAAAAAAAAAGCTAAGGCCTCATTGCCGTTGGTGCTTTATTATCGGATGGGTTATTGCGATATTTCGTAATTGTTCTATAGCGTCGTTATTATTGCAACAGTATGTAACTTCATAATGTACTAAAAACAGATATCGCAATAGAGCATTCGATAACATCGATCGATAATAACGTGCCACTGTGCCTATGAGGCTCAAGTTCGAGAAGGACGTCGTCGTCGTATGTGTGTCTTATTATTATTTTTAAGGAGCTCAATGGCGCAAGTGATTACCGCATTTGGCTGCGATCGTTGAAGTACACACTGGGCCGTGGGTCATTGACCAATCTCCCTATTCCATCCACAGGAAAGGCCTGTGTCCCAGCAGCAATAGACTGCTATTCCATCCACAGGGAAGGCCTGTGCTCCAGCAGTGGAGTATTAATAGGCTGATGATGATGAAATTCCGGTGACGGGTATTGCGGTAATAAAACGAAATATTTGTCGTGATTGGACTCGTTCGACTTAATACCTACCAAGTGTTGATTCTACTAAGTTAACATAAAAATCGTGTTTCAGTAGTGGTTCGTTAGTATTTTATTTATTAGTTCATTAGCTTTTTGATACAGTTCTTGTTACTAAAATTTAAAATAATAAATGCATACAGATAATGCAATCCACGAAGACGCGCCCCACTATTCGTCCTAACCGTTTATAGTAAATGTGTGCCAGCTTCCGCCAATATTTCAGTGTTATCGGTACACACTAATTATTTATGATAACAATAAATAATAATATGATAATTATCTAATTATCTTTTTATCACTAATTATCCATCAACCAAAAATTGGTGGGGCGCATCTTCGTGGATTGCACTATCTGTACAGATAACAATAACAAATGAGTAGACAAAAATATTTGTAGATATGAGTGATTTATACCTGTTATTACATTAAAGTCAGGCAGAATCGACGCCCTGGATATGTTCATGTTAGCTCCTCATTTTAAACAATCACGAAAAAGTTGGCGATAACAGCCTCCATGTTTTTCTCAACACATTCGTCTCAACGTCTGAAATAAAACGTTCGTTAATATCCTAACGAGATACCATATAATCTTACTAAAAAGTCAAGAAAATGTGAAAAAAGCCGCGTAACATAAAAATATATTTGGTTATGCCGGAATATCATTTCGCGCGCCTGCCTACTCTCAGAGGGATATGGAACGCGACGAAAAAATAAATATACAGTATATGGGTTGAGGACTTGATAACTGGAACACATAATATTATACGATGGTTTGTCGAGTAAACAGCGTAGGATTACTCTGCTGATGTCACCCTTTCTCACACTTTTCACCAATTGGCTTTAACTTTAAAGGAAAAAGAATCCGTCTGTATGTGTTTTAAAATCATTTTTGCAGATTAACTGAAATTTAAATTTAACACTTAGTTCTTTTATTCCTTAAAGCTGCAGATAAACAAAAAAAGGACCATTTTGTACATATTTGCACATTGGAATTGCTTTGCTAGGCGTAAAATTCAAACAAAGAATGTGCCAGCTGCTATCGTTCTATTGCAGACAGTAAAGCTTATTAAGGGGCATGGCTTATTCGGAAACTATTTAAGGAGATCGGTTGACAGTCCACCCCTGATCTACGTTTAATTATTACAGGCTCATTAGAAATTCCGATTTTTTAAATACTGATTAACTTTCCTTGTGAATTGTGTGTGAGCTTTTAATACATAAGTACCGTCCTTTTCCGCATCTAGAGTTGAACTCTTAAATGTCAAAGAAAGGGATACTAATTAAAATTAATCCTCTAATTAGGTGGGATAAGAGGATTAATTTTAATTACGAAGAGTGTTTGTTACAGAGAAAATAATAACAATTAGTTCTTTGGATTCAACTAATCAGGAATTGTTGTCCGTAAAATGACAACATCGGTACCTACAGATAAAGATCCAAGTAACGCCTACACATGGGAGGAGACTTATAATAATTCAACTTTATGTCAGCGCGAAATTGTGTAATGAAAAATTCCATTTCGTCCGTCGACATATATAAAAAAGGTTCTTTTTCGTAAATGACGTCCGTTGTTTACCCAACCGAACGGTGTAATGAAGTGTTAAATATTAATTCGTCGTATCTCATTCATCCGTCCTCTGATAAAAGCGATCTGATAGCATTCTGTAATTATGTTTGCGAACTATCCGCATAATAAAGAAGTACAAATTGTCTGTTAACTTTGTTTTAAATCAATTTAGGAATCCCGGGGACAATGGCGGCGCGGTAAGCTCGTGGGTGCGTTATTGCAGATATATGAGGCCTACCATACAGGACACAGCGGATTTTGCGCTCGAATTAGATCAACCCAGTGTTTTTTTTCTCCAAATATTTCCATCTTCTGTTTATCGCTGTAATTGAACAAGAGACACATATAAAAAGTACGGTTAAAGCACCCGAGTGTCTATCTTAAATATTTATTTTATAAAAATAAATATCTTGGTCGGTAACGCTTCCAGAATTTATTTTATCGTTTTTAGGGTTCCGTAGCCAAATGGCAACAAACGGAACTCTTATAGATTCGTCATGTCTGTCTGTCTGTCTGTCCGTCCGTATGTCACAGCCACTTTTTTTCCGAAGCTATAAGAACTATACTGTTGAAACTTAGTAAGTAGATGTGTTCTATGAACCACATTAAGATTTTCACACAAAAATAGAAAAAAAACAATAAATTTCAGGTGTTCTCAATATTTAAAAATGAGATTCAAATATATTTTTTTCATCAAACCCATACGTGTGCGGTGTCTGGATAGATATTCAAAAATGATATTGAGGTTTTTAATATATTTTTTATCTAATCTGAATAGTTTACGCGGGAGACACATCCAAAGTGGTAAACTGTGTCTCCCCCCCTGTAACTTCTAAAATAAGAAATAATAATAATAATAATTTTATTTTCAATAAGTTGTTACATCATGAACACATTAATTAATCAAATTCTTCAAGTTTTCAAACAATCGTAGATACATAACAGAGATAATAAAAGGTGTATTTTATTTTTGTTTTTTTTTTTGACTAAACGTAACAATACTGTAGCATTTACTGTGGGTCCCACACTAGGAGAAACCTGTATCGTGGGCACCCTAATATAATAAATAGGATGGTGTCACATTAATAATTTATATGTAATTATTATTTGTAACAAAACAAACGTAATGAAATCTATTATAAATACTTAATTAAAATCAATATTGTATGTATGTGTATGTCTGTCTATGTGTGTTTCCGTGCGTGTGTGTGTTGGTGTGTGTGTATGTGGGGAAGAATAGATATAGTTTGGGATAGGAATGTATCGATGAGATGTTGGTCTTATTTTGTGTGCTTAATAAGGTCCTCTGTTTGAAGGTAGGTCATGCACTTCAGCCTTTTAGTGAGCACGCGCTTGACTTGTTTCAATGTAGCTGTTTTTATGTCACACAGTTTTGCTATTTTATTATACACATACGGGAGCATGTGACTAGGAAAGCGTTGTGCAAAAGCGGAACGCACTCTGACAACGGGTACCCTAAATAGTCTTTTGCATAAGAGGGATTTATAATTGGGTGAGCTTAATACTTGACGATGCATTTTTAAGAGAATGAGAAAACTAAAAAAAAAGTAGGATGTACATTACCATGCAAACTTCCAACGAAAATTGGTTTGAACGAGATCTAGTAAGTAGATTTTTTTTAATAATTAATTAATTTTAAAAAAAAAACTATTATTAAAACATCGATCAAATTTATAACGAACTACAAGTACTTTTATATTATGTTACTTGCTACTACGGAACCCTTCATGGGCGAGTCCGACTCTCACTTGGCCGCTTTTTTAAGATGAAGTTCATGTTTTATTTATAAAAACAAAACAGTATTTGTTTAATATAAACACGTGTGTGTTTTACTCGTTTGTTTTAAATGCGTCCCTTGATAAATTACAGCCATAAACAGAAGAGGGATATGTTTTTGGGCCAAAAAAAACACTGCGCCCGTATGGTGAAGTAACCTACCTGTTAGTGGTGTTGTGTTTCTGTCGGTGAATGATGTGAAATGATAGTGAGGAAGATTACAGGGCTCCACGTGGTAGGGGATCGGGTCAGAGAAGGCAACGGTGCGAGTGATACTTTTAGTATCGCAAGCGTCGAGCTATGATGGCCGCTTACTATTAGGCGGTTGTTTGCCACCCTTTCAACATAAAAAAGTGCAGCTTACACAGAGACTCATCGTTGGATGGGTGACCAAAAATTAATTATATTGAATTCATTAAGTCAAGAGCCCTGGCTAATATAATTTATCTATTATTTTGAACCTAATCTAATAATTACTAAGCAGCAACATAGTTAATTTCTATTAGCAATCATTAGCCATTGATCCGCGTGAGACTCGCGTAACAGCCTTTGGAGATTTCTGTAGCACGGTATTAAGGTACTGAATGCATAAAGATATATATTAAATAAAACTAGTTTTTACGGCTTAATGCACGAAACTTTATTTACTTAATAAATAAAGTTTCGTGCATTAACCCGTAAAAACAATAGGGATGATGACGGGGTAAACCAAAAACAATGGTCTGATTTTTTCTTTTGTCAATATCATCATCATCAGCCTATTAATATCCCCACTGCTGGGGCACAGGCCTTCCCTAAGGATGGAATAGGGAGATTGGGCCATGACCCACCACGCGGGCTCAGTGCGGATTGGTGGGTGTTAACGACTGCAGATGCAGCCGGGACCAACGGCTTAACGTGCCTTCCGAAGCACGGAGGAGTCCAAGATCCAACTTCAACGATCGCAGCAGAACGCGCTAACCACTTGCGCCATCGAGCTCCTCAATATATAAATGACAAAGATCGCTGCAAAGTGTGGAGTGGTGGCTCGCTCGTGAAGTCACTGCTAAGTATAAATTGTACCAAGACGTGTCGTCATGCC